CTGGGCCAATTTGACTTAATTTGCAAATAATTAATACCGACAATTATGCGGACCTCCATGTATGAGAGGGAGCCAAAACGAAGACATTAATCGTTTGTTTAGTGTGCCTGCCTGTGTTTATAATTGACTTAGATTTAGTCGGGCACGAGAAACATTTCTTTTTTTTAGGGTAGGAAAGTGACCTTTCACAACTTTTAATATATACAAGCGACCGATTTCATAAACAAGACCAGAAATACTTCACAGCCATTACCAGAACAAACCATAATATTCTGCTTTAAAGTGAAGGCATTATATTTGAGTGTTCCGAAAAAGATACACATGTCTCGTTTAAAAAGGGCACGGACGTCCTTCGGTTTTAAAGCAGTCTTTAATGATTCAATCCTAAGGATGTTAGATAAGGTTTGGAAAATAAAAACTTTAAATTCACCTGAAAAAAATCGCAAATTGAGAGTACGCCGTACGATCAAACATAGGCATGATTTATGTGAGTACTTGCAAGAAAGAATGGGAAAACAAACTGTTTCAACAATTCAACAAAAAAAAAAACAATCAAAAACATTATTGCGATTTATTGACGATATTTGAGGTGTTTGGATCAATGAAGTCGATAAATTCGTAAAATTTTACAGGTAAGAGAATTCAATACACCCATAAATTCAAGTAGAGATGAGCTATTCTCCGGGGAAAATAAAATTCCTGGATACTGTGACAGCCGTTTTAAGACGTTTGGGGGTTCTAAGCACAGTCTCTAACCATAAAAGTAACCAGAGTTGCGCCTCAGTCTCTCAGTTTCTGATATAGAGTATTGCATTGCATTTCCATGTGCATGTGTGTCATTTTGTTAAATTTATTAATACAGTACTAAACTGCTAACACAACCGACACCTCAAATTTGTTTTGGGCCGCCGTGGGGCCTCCTGATGCAGCAGAGCCCTAGACACGTGCCTCGTGTGCCTATTCCTTAAAACAACTCTGCACTATGACATTGCTAGATAATGATTACATTATAATAAAACTATATATGAAACCCACCACAAGAATACCTATCTTCATATTGAATTAAGTCATCTAAAAGCTTTTTATCTACATATTAAATCAAGTCACTCAGAAGCTTGAAAAAGGGTTTTAGGGGTAGCTTACCAGTTATGCACTTTTGAGAGAGTGACGTATGTAAGGGGAATTTGTATGGATTTTAAACATGCGCAGTGGAAAAAATATTGGCATACATCTAGGCTACTTTGATGTAATATGGCTGACATTTCTTTGGATATTGTACTTTTTTAAATTGTATATGATCTAAGCACACTGTTAGCTATTATGCCTTCTCCCTTGTGCTAAAAATAATCATCCTGAATTAGTCTAAAGTACACTATCCTTGGCACTATTCAAATAGGGAAAATTAATTTTGCCAGACTAGACAATACCAACATCGGAAAGTGCAATGAATGAATTACCAAATACATAAAAAGTAAAAAAAAGTTATCCGCTCTTTTTAAACAATTTACCTCTGCAGTTCAGGACGTAAAAATGACCAAGTGGATTTAGCTCTTTTTTGAAAGGTGGACATCTGGAGTAAGAAAAAGCTATACAATCTATATTCCGTATTACACCCATTAATCATACACCACATTAAAGGGAAGTAAAGGTTCTTTGAACAATACATAAGATATACATGGTCTTTCCTAAATAGCCAGTATAACCAGTGAGGAACTCCGGGGAAATTCTTTTTCTTTAAAATTCTAACCTTAAACAATGTACATGTACGATAAGGTAGAGCGCCACCTTACCTGACGAAGTCGGAATACGAATAAAATAATACATAATTAGCACAAGCGCGACCATTCTCTGCAATTAATAGAGAAATAAATACAAGGGTTGATATGTTAGATAGAAATGATGTTTTAAAGTATAAACCGAACGAAATTCTTGCCACTTGTTATAACATAAACTCGAGGACTGCCAACATGCGTGAAATATCAAAGAAGAAACCCAAAACTCTTTTTGCAAATCATCACAAATCCATCACTGGTATCTTTCAAATGAGATAACTAGAGGGATATTTTAGTCCACAAGAAACACAAGCAACACTTTCATACCAATGCAAAAACGTATATACATATCGGGAATGAAAATTGCAATACACAAGTATTGGATGAAATCCAGCAATTTTTGCGATACGAACCGGAATGAATGCAAAATCCAAGGTCAATTTCATTGTCAAACAGTAGAACGTATTTAATGTTTTCTCTAAGAAATTTAGAAAACCGGCCGATGAATGTCATACAAGAGGCTCTTTAAAACAAGGAAAACGGCTATCATTTCTAAAATTAGGACTAGAAAAAATAACAAACAAACCAAACAAAGCAAACAAGCAAAGTATTTCCATTCGGATACCCCTCTTTTCAGGTGATTATTTTGTCGTAGGTATTGCTAACATATATTGTAACAAATCTTATAGATTGCTAAAGTATCATTTGTCTTCAAAAAAAAAAATCATATAACAACCCTGTCACGAAAAGGACTAATTTCCAGCAAATATGACAAGTTGCGAATTTTTACATAGTGACGTC